CATTCATTGAGGAAAAAAGGTCTTCCTGAAGGAAAGCCAAAAACCCCTTTTGCTTCGACTTTTAAATTGATACTATCAGCCATGGCGTTTGCCTCAGACAGTAACCGATTTTATGACCTAGGCCACGCCCTTCGCTCTGACCGGAGCAAGTCTTGCCAGCAGACCTTGCACCGACCAAAACAAAAGAGCTAGGTTTCAGTCAGTCACGTCATGTTGGAGGTGTGCATTTCCAGCCTACTAGAAATGACTAGGCCTGCTATATGCAGACAATGTAGGTTTGTTGTCACGTTTTGTTATGGGATAAAAGCCGCATGAAACATGGGCCGTCGCTCTAATTTGGGTAAGATTTCGTGTTAGGACTGAGCCTTGCACTCCACTATGATAAAATTTCGCAGAGATGTTATCTATATAGTCAGCTATATAGGGCACCCCTGTAGCTTCGGGCAGTTCCGTGTTTCTGGTGCATCTGTCAGCCGATAGGACGCCTCTCAGGAACCTATTTTGGGTCCTTTGAACACGCCGTCTCGTGAAATCACTGACAGAATGCCAGATAGGGGAGCCGTATGTCAGTATGGGCGTGATTGTAGAAGTATAGAGCAGAAGCTTATTTTGAGGTGATAGGAAAGAGTTGGGCGCCAAAAGAGAGTCTAACTTTCTTTGGGCCATGGCTGTCTTTTGTACCGCATTTGCAATATGCGATTTGAAACGAAGTCGGGCGCCTAGTCTGAATCCCAGGTATTTCACCTCTTTTACTGGCATAATGGGGGTATTTTGAACGACGTGTGGTGACAAGATGTGATTGTTACTGGACTTGCGCGAGAAGACAATAATTTCTGTCTTCCTGTGATTCACTTTCAATTTCCATTTGTCGAAGTACGTCGTCATCAAACTCAGGTGGTGTGCAATGCGAAATTTCGCGGCCTGGGCATGAAAAGACGACGTGTAGAGTGCGATATCGTCAGCGTAGAGGGCTGTTTTAGTAGTAGGGAGCATCGGGATATCTGCTGTGTACAGAGTGTACAACTGCGGCGATAGAACAGTACCTTACGGCACGCCTGCAGTAATGCGTCTTTTGGATGAGGTGGAATTCTCCACCTTCACCTGGAATGAGCGGTTTTTAAGGTAAGACGCAATAAGGGAACCTAAGTATAGTGGGAGGGAATAGACGGCAAACAACTTGTACAGTAGGCCGGCATGCCAAACTGTGTCGAAGGCCCTTTCCACATCGAGGAGCAGCAGGGCCGTACTTTGAAGTTTGTTAAATGCTGCGTAGGCGTCTGTTACGATCCTAGCAGTCTTCAGCGTTGTGTTATGTTTGGGCCGAAAGCCCAACTGCTCGTCCGGAATTAAACTTCTAAGTTCGGCTGCCGCTTGCAACCTCGAAAGAAAAACCTCAGTTAGTTTGCCGAGGCTGTTTAAGAGGGAAATCGGCCTATAAGAGGCAGGATCAGCCGGGTTTTTGCCCGGCTTTAAAATTGGAATTATTACAGCGCTTTTCCAGTCATGTGGGAAATGCTGTAGTTTCAGGATTGCGTTGACTATTTGTACTATTAGTACAATAGTTTTCCGCGGCAAGTTTTTGAGGAGTAGATATGGAATGCCATCTGGCCCAGGAGCTTTTCGGCTCGTCTTGAACATTATTTATTTCAGACAAATTTTTACAAATTTCTTACTGCTAACTTATCTACGAGTCTTAATTCTAACATCTTTAGAGTGTTTTACAC